CCTATATAAATCATCGAAGAAAGGTAAATAATATGATAATACATCGAACGAATGTTGAGCCTATAACTAAATAAATGAATAAAAAAATAAATAAACTGTGCATTGTGGTCTCAGCAGCTAGTTGTAAACTAATCAATAATACTCCTCTAAACACCTATAGGCCTGTAGTATAGTAATGAGGGCCAGTTGGCCAATTATTTCTTCAAAGACATTAAGTTGGATTTTTTTTATATTTGCTGCGAAGCAGCCAATTCATATTCTTGACAGCAATTTGACCTCTGAAATGTCATTGTTTGTCAAAAAACCTGCGCCTATGACAATGGAAAAGCGGAGTTTCCTTCTTTCGTTCTGCCGGGTAAAATCAATTACTTTAGGCGACGTTTGTAGATTAACCTACTCGTACCAACGTCCGCATGTCGCGACGCTGGAGTACTATTCAGCGTTTTTATTATATTTCTAGTTTTCCTATTTCTACGTTTAATGGGCTCATGTCTCAGCCACAATATTTTGAGGCCAATATTATTTACGAACCCAGTTAAAATTATTTACTAGCCTATTTCAACGTGCTAATTATTACATTTAGGCGACGCTTGTTGTAGTCTGGCATAGTGTTTTCGGAAATAAATACCATTTTATACACATGGGCAGATCGATTCGCCAGCAGCGAGTCGCCAGCCGCGAGATGTCACTGCAGCAAAACACTATTGTACACGGTACCAACGCTGTTCTAATATAGACAACGGGTCGTGTCTCATATTATTTGTTATATTTTTATTATTCATTATTTTCACTTGACTCGCATAAATAATTTTGTTCGAAGAACATTTTATGCAGTTTTACTTCGCAGCACTTCACTTGCAATTTGCAATTTCTAGTTAGCCTATTATTTTAGGCCTATAGCCCTGGGTCCAAGTGCCTTGTGCTGGCTGCACTGCCCATCCCTAATGTCATTGGGTGGGGCACTGAAGCCGGTAAACAAAATCTACAATTCAAATCCGAAGGCCACAGCCTGCCATGCCCAAAACTATTGGCGTAAGGGTTGAGAGCTCTTAATGGGTGCAGGGGCTCGGGATTCAAGGGCCCCTGATATTATTATTCATTTTTCCATACTAGGCCAGGAGCAGAAAGTGTAAAAAAAACCCAGCAAAATACGCCATTATATTCTATATATTATCTATATGAATGTTATACCGGTAATGCTTATTGTTACAATTTGTTATTTCATATCATAACCTTAATGTACCTGCAGTCATTGTTAATGCATTTAGTTTATAATATAATACGTAGGCTACATTTTGTGCTTACACCAAAAGATGAACGGAAAACCGTTATGCATTTCTGCATTTAAATCTGTTCTATTGTCTACAGTCAGTCAAATCTTCGAAATGATTTCTATGAGCAACATAGGTTTATAGCAGTAGGAACCATGTATTTCCGTGACATTATATACTAGAAGCCAGAATTGAAGAAAATAAATAGAAAGTCAGTTTCAGTGGTATGGAATTGCAGTTACTTGGAGGTTAAGATATTTGCCTTCTATCCCAGAAGTTTAAAGATGGATCGTCCATTGAATTATACCAACAAATATAATAAAAATCTTTTTTGAAATTAACTTTTCAACTTGAATATAGAAACTGGTGTATTAAAAATGTTTACCCATAATTTTACAATGAAAAAAAGGATATAAACACTTTCTATCCTTTTTCTAAAAGTGTTTTAATTATTTTTATCATTATCTAGTATAAGAATCAGGGTACACAATTTTAGAACAATATATATTTTAACACTACGGCCAAACCCTATTAAGGGGGCAGGGACACTTTCTGAGTGTGCCAAATGGTCAAATAACCCTATTAAAGGGACAATTAATGTTTCATTAATAATAATCATTGTATCATAACAACTAAAGCAGTCCCAAAGTAAAAAATATTAATTCAGCTTTATTATTTGTCACCTTTTGAGCAATAAACCAGACTTTTCTCCCCTGAATCCTTAGAGTAGACGTCGGTATATGCCTCTGTATGTGTTCATATCAACCAATGTTGTCAATTTTGACCCTTAACCATGGGGATTTCCTTTCCTTTGTTTTTCGTGTACTTTCATATAGGATTCTTTCATATGGTACTTTCGTCATTTAGGCCTATCACAACGCCTTTTCTTTGTAGATACAAAGCGCTTCTTTTCCCCTGACAAGTGTTGCTACTGGTAAACATCGCAGGAGTAGGAAACCCCACCAGGTTCTAATTTATACCCTTGGGTGGAGAGAAGGAGTGCAGATAAAGTGCTTTGCTCAAAGACACAAGCGAAATGAACAGCGAGGGATCGAAGCCCCGACCTCGAGGTCGGGAAACCAAACCGTTTCCGCAGCACCAATCCGCTTCTACAGCATACAAAACTATTGCTGTTTTAGTTACATGTGTGCTGATTTCATATTATAAATGAATTGTATTTCATTGCAAATCGTTGCTATAAATTAGTTATAGGCCTAGTCCTACTTAATTGATTATTATCTCAATAAAAATAAAATTATACAGAATGTATGTCATCGTTGTATGGACTCACATGCAAAAACCCCCATTGAGGGGACAATTTCTCGTTTTTGGTTAGTGTCCCCAGAATAGGGGTACCCTATTCAGGGGACGCCCCTATTAAAGGGACACATCCTTTGGTCCCGAAGGTGTCCCCTTAATAGGGGTTCTACTGTAATATAAGTTTCATTATTTTTTTTCTGCTACAATTGTATGCCTTCAATTAGCCTGGGTTCCAGGCCCTAATTTTAGGTTACTCACTCTTTACTGCACTTAGTGCGCGCCATATTTAATTTAATTGGCGTCCCATACTCGATTTCTTTTTTTTCGAATTAGGGCCTGGGCAAACATTCATGCGTGCAATTTCCCACATCAAATTTGATGTGGGATATCGTATGCATGACTGATTTTGTAAATCACGTGATTGGCTAACTTCATGCATATTAATCAATCTTGGTAAATTTTCAAAATTGAAGATGCGGATGTCTCGACCAGAACCAAGCTCTAGCTCCCTTTTGGCTACCTACTTGAAATAAAACAGTTAGTATAATAGTTCTGGCCTGCTGAGAACGACATGGACTGATAACCGTAGGCTATAGGCCCACTTGGAACCATGCTCACCGCTAGCTGCTACACAGATTTAGGCCTTTAGGGTAGAATATTGTTAAAAAGGTAGGCCTCTGTAAGTAAGAACTTAAAAATAGGCCAAGCCTCTACTAGTCTAGGCTAGGCCTACTACCT